ATATATCCTTTGGGCCACAGCAGCGAGGCTGGGGGGGGGGGAGGTCTTGTCGTCTGGGCAGCTCAGGAGCTCCAGACACCCTGCCCAGGCTTGCACCCGGGGAGATCACGTCGGTGCAGCAAACACCCCCAGAGGTGCACTCCATTATCTCTTGAGCCGGAGAGATGGCAACATTCATAGCTACATAAATATAAGCAAAATTGCATTGAGAGGACGTGTTGACGGCCACCCAGCCAGGAGCTGCCGTTATGCACCGGTGCGATACTTCAACCACATTCTGAGTTTCAGTCAGTTAAAAAAGAAATGTTTATGTCGCAGGTCCTTTGCAAGGTTCCGCTCAGAGCAAGACAAGCCTCTGCGTCTCCAGCTTCCAGCACCAACCACAAGCCTCACACATTGCTCCTTCTTGGCCTATTGCTCTCCATTCTAGAATGAGTTGTGAAAAGTCCCGTCCATTTACCTCTATGGCAACAGAGCTCCCTCTTTGGCCATGTAAACGTCCGTCTGTGCTTAACTGACTAGCTAAGGCCATTATCTTACCAATAAACCAGTATGACCGATTCACCGTGCTTCCTCTTGTAGAATCTAGACTCACAATGGCAGGTCACAGGTGCGCAAGGGACTCACAGGTTATGACCCGTGACTGACCAGCCCACCACCTATAACACTATTTTCAATGCGATCGGCTTGTGCATTTCCTTTCTGTAAATGGTGTTAGATGAGAGATGCTTGTGGTTTTTTTCATTTGCTTAGTCTTTTCTTTTTGTTTTGTCAACCACGTACCCTGGGGCTTATTTTGGTATAATCAGCACATAAGGAACAAATAATGAGCCCCGAAAAATGCATTTTGGTGGGGTGGTGTCCTGCAGAACAGCAAGCAGCCCAGGCTTTGCTGTAGCTTCAAAATGCTACTCCAGAGTAATTCTGCTTCAAAGTGCAGCAGCCCTTAACAGCGGCCTCCTCCCTCTATTTTCCGCATGTTCCTGTTTTAAACTTTTAACAGAGAAGCATGCCAGCGAGGCTCCTTTCCTCGGTGACCCTAGAACATGAGTCTCCCGTGGGCGGGGGTGGGCGGGTTGGGCTCCAGAGTTGTCATGCTTTTTGAGCTAGAGAGGGAAGTACAGGGGAGAGGGATGTTTCCTCTTTTCTTCTCCCCAGAGAGTGCAAGGTTACTTATTTATGCAGTAGAAATAGACTGAAAGAGCATCTTCACCCCCATCGTTCAGCCCGGATACAGAGGTCCAGCTCCAAGGGCCTTCTAGTGGTTCCCTCACTGCGGGAAGTGAAGCTACAGGGATCCAGGGGCGGCCGCCAAGACCACGTAACACCGGTCTTGAAAGACCTACATTGGTTCCCAGGACGTTTCCGAGCACAATTCAAAGTGTTGGTGCTGACCTTGAAAGCCCTAAAGGGCCTCGGTCCAGTACAGTGGTACCTCGTGTTAAGTACTTAATTCGTTCCGGAGGTCCGTTCTGAACCTGAAACTGTTCTTAACCTGAAGCACCACTTTAGCTAATGGGGCCTCCTGCTGCCACTGCGCCGCCGCTGCACGATTTCTGTTCTCATCCTGAAGCAAAGTTCTTAACACGGGGTACTATTTCTGGGTTAGCAGAGTCTGTAACCTGAAGCGTATGTAACCCGAGGTACCACTGTATACCTGAAGGAGCGTCTCCACCCACATCGTTCTGCCCGGACGCTGAGGTCCAGCGCCGAGGGCCTTCTGGCAGTTCCCTCATTGCGAGAAGCAAAGCTACAGGGAACCAGGCAGAGGGCCTTTTCGGTAGTGGTACCCACCCTGTGGAATGCCCTCCCATCAGATGTCAAAGAGATAAACAATTACCTGACATTCAGAAGACATCTGAAGGCAGCCCTGTTCAGGGAAGTTTTTAATGTGTGACATTTTAATGTATTTTTAATCTTTGTTGGAAGCCGCCCAGTGGCTGGGGAAACCCAGCCAGATGGTCGGGGTACAAATAATAAATTTTTATTTTATTTTTTATTAGTATTATTACCAGGCAGAGAGCTTTCTCCGTAGTCGCACCCTCCCTGTGGAATGCCCTCCTGTCAGATGTAAAACAGATAAACAGCTCTATTACTTTCAGAAGACATCTGAAAGCTGCCCTGTACAGGGAAGTTTTTAATGTCTGAGGTTTTATTGTGCTTTAAATATTTTGTTGGGAGTCACCCATAGCAACTGGGGAAATCCAGTCATGTGGGTGGCATATAAATAATAAAACAGAAATCAACATATAGATGGTCATTAAATGAAGGATCATTAAAGAAGCCAGAGCTATAGGGGAAAGGGGTGAAAGTCCTAAAAGACTGCGGTACTTTGAAATAAATTTAAGCAAAGGGACAGACGTAAATATGGTACAGGATGCCGGTAAGGCAGTAATAAGAGGCTTCTTTATATACAACAAAACACTTCCCAAAATAAATCAGAAGACAAGAAGCAAGAGATAATATAAGAACTTAATATGAATGAAAATAAATGAACTGAAAAGCTGGGAAACACGGTTGTAATGCAGACTATTAAAATGCTACAAACACAGTTATCAATTCTGACATGAAATTAAAATATCCTAAACAGAAAGAGTCTGAATTTGCAAACAAACCTGGAAGATTGTTGCTGTGGCAATTAAAGAAAGAAAAGAAATCTAATGTGATTAACCCACCCACCAGCCGCTGACACTCTGGAGGGAGAAAAGAAAGTGACGTTTTGGTTTTAAGTGACTAACAAAGCAAAAATTGCAACACTGAGCTGGGTATTTGGTGGCTGGATTGCCCGACCACAGGTGACCCATCTAGCACAGCATCCTGATCCCAGAGCAGCGAACCTGATGCTCCAAAGGGAAAGGCCATGAGCAGGATGCGGCCACAAGAGCAGTGGAGGGAGATAGGAGCCGATGGTGGCCTCATCCTACGTGATTTGGGGGTGTTCAGAAGTAATAATAATAATAATAATAATAATAATAATTTATTATTTATACCCCGCCCATCTGGCTGGGCTTCCCCAGCCACTCTGGGCGACTTCCAAAAACAAAAAAATTAAAATACTATAATACATCAAACATTAAAAGCTTCCCTAAAGAGGGCTGCCTTCAGATGTCTTCTAAAAGTCTGGTAGTTGTTCTTCTCTTTGACATCTGGTGGGAGGGTGTTCCACAGGGAAGGCGCCGCTACCGAGAAGGCCCTCTGCCTGGTTCCCTGTAACTTGGCTTCTCGCAGTGAGGGAACCGCCAGAAGGCCCTCGGCGCTGGACCTCAGTGTCTGGGCTGAATGATGGGGGTGGAGACGCTCCTTCAGGTATACTGGACCGAGGCCGTTTAGGGCTTTAAAGGTCAGCACCAACACTTTGAATTGTGCTCGGAAACGTACTGGGAGCCAATGTAGGTATTTCAAGACTGGTGTTATGTGGTCTTGGCAGCTGCTCCCAGTCACCAGTCTAGCTGCCGCATTCTGGATTAGTTGTAGTTTCCGGGTCACCTTCAAAGGTAGCCCCACGTAGAGCGCATTGCAGTAGTCTAAGCGGGAGATAACCAGAGCATGCACCTTTCTGGCAAGACAGTCTGCGGGCAGGTAGGGTCTCATCCTGCGTACCAGATGGAGCTGGTAGACAGCTGCCCTGGACACAGAATTAACCTGTGCCTCCATGGACAGATGTGAGTCCAAAATGACTCCCAGGCTGCGCACCTGGTCCTTCAGGGGCACAGTTACTCCATTCAGAACCAGAAGGGGCAAAGTGCATTTTGGATAGCAGCCCCACCCCACATTTCTGAGAGATGAACAGCAGCACATTCCGCACAAACATCCGGTGCTTATTTTCTCCGAAGGAAGTCCTGTTGGTTTTTTTCCAGGAGTTAACGTTCCAGTAAGTCTGGTTAAGGCGGCACCCTTATTTGAATGTGTAGTTTGTGATTTGGATACGAGCAGTGCAAGTAACCACAGGGGTCCAGTTGTGGAGTAGGGCAAGCAGAGAAATAAGCTGCTTGCCTGGGAGGGAAAGCACCGTTCCCTCCTCCCCTCTCCCCCCCCCCCCGCACCTGCCGCAACCCTTTAACCTCTTGAGAACCTCTATGCAGGGCTCACATTGCCATATTGCAAGGTAAAAACATAATAAGAGCTTACTGGGTCAGATGCCCCCATGGGAAGCGCACGAGCAGGACCTGAACACAAGACCCCTCTCCCCTCCTGTAGTTTCCAGCAACTGGGATTCAGAAGCCATCATGACTGATAGCCAACAATACCCCTTTCCTCCCACAAATATGTTGAATCCTTTTTCATTCTTAAAGGTATATCTCTAATCCCTCTCTTAACGCCATCTAAGTTGGTGGCCCTGTTTCCTGTGGAAGGGAGTTCCACAGATTTAATTCTGCCTTGCATGAAGAAGTCCTTCCTTTTCTCTGTGCTGATTCGTCCAACCTTCAGCTTCATTGCATGCCATAGAATTCTAGAACTGTAGAGTTGGGAGAAGGTCTGTATAGTTAAAGCTATGGTAGTGATGTATGGAAGTGAGAGCTGGACCATAAAGAAGGCTGATTGCCAAAGAATGGATGCTTTTGAATTATGGTGCTGGAGGAGACTCTTGAGAGTCCCATGGACTGCAAGAAGATCAAACCTCTCCATTCTGAAGGAAATCAGCCCTGAGCGCTCACTGGAAGGACAGATCGTGAAGCTGAGGCTCCAAGACTTTGGCCACCTCATGAGAAGAGAAGACTCCCTGGAAAAGACCCTGATGTTGGGAAAGATGGAGGGCACAAGGAGAAGGGGACGACAGAGGACGAGATGGTTGGACAGTGTTCTCGAAGCTACCAGCATGAGTTTGACCAAACTGTGGGAGGCAGTGGAAGACAGGAGTGCCTGGCGTGCTCTGGTCCAGGGGGTCACGAAGAGTCGGACACGACTAAACAATAACAACAAGAGTTGGGAGGGAACCCGAGGGTCATCTAGTCCAACCCCCTAAAATGCAGGAATCTTTCGGCCATCACGACCCTGAGCTTGAGAGTCTCACGCTTCACCGACTGAGCTAAAGAGTTCTGGTGTTAGGAGGAGAGAGGAAGGAAAACGCTTCTATCCAATTTAGCCATGAATTTGCCTAGTCTCCATCCGAAGTGGTGACCGCCCTTTGCCTCTTGCGAGAGTGAAAGGTAACTACAGTATTTGCTGAGAGAGAGCCCTCTTTAAAAAGTGGAAGGGCTGGTGGGGACGAGGAGGCTGGGGGGCGAGGCCTTCGGGAAAGAGGCGCGGCCGCCGTGGGGCTGGGCGGTTCTTAAGCGCGCGGCTTCCCCATCGCGGGCGCGTCGCCTTCTGCTTCTGCTCGCGGACCGTGAAACCGTCGGGGAGGCGCAACAACTGCTGTTTTCCTGCTTTGCTGCAGCAACTGCGCGGGGCAGAGAGCTTTTCCTCTCCCCTTGCCGGGCATTTTTGCGGGGTGCGTCCCCCCCGAGGACTGCGTACAGGCGAGAGCCATTCTGGAGATGCACCTGGCCCCCGAAGAGGCACCAGCGAGCGCGCAGGAGCTGCCGGGCTGCTGAGAACGCGCCGTCGAGGGAACGTCGGAAGGCGGCAGGCAGGTGAATCCGGGGAGAGACGGCGGGAACAGGGGGCAGCCGCGACCCTCCGCTCCCCCGGCAATGGCAGGAAGGAGATGGGTCGCACGAGGGAAGCGTAAGGAATGCTTAACCCGGAGTCTTGTCTGTGTGTTTAAGGCCCTGGAGCCTGTGAAATGATAAGGCAGCGGAGAGCGTGCTCATGTGCAGAGTTTGTTTTCCTCTTCCCCCGAGTCATCACTCACCTGCGCTTTCGGCTCATCTGGGTAGTCGTGAGCCAAGGTACTTCTCTGTTGCGAAGGCTCTGGGTGCCTTGATCAGACGTCTCCTTTTCAGGGGGGTTTGTAGGGGACGTGCCCCCCAAAAAACCCTCTGTTGTTTGCATTGTATAGCTCATAAGTCACCCCACTGAATTTCAGTGGCTGTTGCGGCAGGTGCTGAATCTTGCAGTCTGAAACATCTGGAGCCTGGAGGGCACCAAGTTGGAGAAGGCTGCTGGAATATGTAGCCAGGTGGTGAAAGAAAGGAGTTTCACAAGGACTCAACTCACCCTTTCAACTAAATGTTTAGCCCTCAACCGTGCTATTCAGTGTGCACCTGAGAATGCTCTGTACACTGCAATTGAACCGGAGTTAAGTCTCGCAAGCTCTGGTGCCCTAAGGCTTTTCAGCACATCATAGATTCTAGAGGCACAGCAAAAATATTCTAAGGGAGGGAACAATGGAGGAAATCTAGCATCTTGATTCTGTTTTAGTCTGTATCGCAGCTCTGTAGGAGGGGTGTCCAGCTCTGTCCTTCTGGTTGTTTATACACGCCTCCCCCACCCCCTGCAAAAGCTGCAATCCACTGCTCACCCAGTGGGGGCAAAATACAAGTACCTGTATTTTCCTTCCAATAGTTGTGTGAGGAAAGACTAACCATTAGCCTGGCTGCCTCAGAATGTTAAAAAGGTAAAGGGACGCCTGACCATTAGGTCCAGTCGTGACCAACTCTGGGGTTGCAGCGCTCATCTCGCTTTATTGGCTGAGGGAGCCAGCGTACAGCTTCCAGGTCATGTGGCCAGCATGACTAAGCCCTTTCTGGTGAACCAGAGCAGCACACGGAAACACCGTTTACCTTCCCACCAGAGTGGTACCTATTTATCTACTTGCACTTTGACGTGCTTTCGAACTGCTATGTTGGCAGGAGCAGGGACCGAGCAACGGGAGCTCACCCCGTCGCGGGGATTCGAACCGCCGACCTTCTGATCGGCAAGCCCTAGGCTCTGTGGTTTAACCCACAGCACCACTATGGTTTATTAAAATCACACACACACAAACTTTGTCCATAGGTATAACTATGGTTTCCAACAAACCATGGTTTGTTATTGGGTTATGAACCTTGGTTTGTTTTAACTGCAGCTTGTCATCATGCTTAAACTCAACACCCCCTCCTGAACCAAGGTTTGTTTGGCCAGACCACCTCAATTGCAGGAGCAACTGGAAAAACAACAACAAACAAACAAACTTTGGATAAATAAGCCATTGTTTGTCTGATTGTGCGGCAACTCATGGTCAATTTGTAGTTTGTCAAACCACAGTGTAGTGTTACATGGAAACCAGACAATTTCCTCCTCCAACACTGCTGCTTTGGGGGGCAAAAAACTGAGCCCACATCTCCACCCAGGGTCTTCAAGGAGTTTGGAGTGGAATGTGCACCTAATATTATTGTTGTTTCCTTAGTTTTGGTATATTTGAAAATCATCTCTCTCCCTCTCTCATAAATAAAATGAAATATTGGTTTGCTTCTGTGACCAAATGGCACGTCACAGTAAACCATAGTTGATGGTGGGTTGTCCTGTCCCCTCAACACACAGAGGAAACAAACCATGGTTCCTAGTGTCAGGCGCATTGCACATAGGTCTAGGGCACAAATTTGCATTAGCTGTTGCATAATGTATGAATGCTTCTGAGCAAATTGTGCAGAATGTGTTGTGTGTGTCACAGACATATCTCCACTGGTCTACCCCCTAACGACTCTCCTGCTGGGTGAAGTATGTCCATTGTGGTCGGTTTTGCTCCAACAGAGCACGAGGTCTCTTAGAGGCCAAGGGATGCTCAGCACATGAGCTCCGGAAGGCCAGGGATGCTCATGTGAGCCCAGTAAGATCTCGCAAGAGCACTCCAGAATTGGTGCACCAACAGGGCTTTGCCCCCCACCCCGCCCCCCCTCCAAGCAAGGCAGATTGCTGAAGAGCTCATACCACACTGTTTCTGCTTGGCTTACATTGTGTGGAGAGAGCTTTCGAGCTCTTGGCTTTGCTTGCATTTAACTTGCAGAATTTCAACCAGCCGGCCCCTAGCCACACATGGTTGAAATTGCGTGATCTAAGTGGCCAAAAGATTCGATTGCATATTCTCTCTGCAAATGCAGGCAGCTTTAGCGTGACTCGGCAGCTTTGATGTTTCAGACAGGTGAGCCCCTGCTGTCACTCCTCAACTTCAGCACACCTTGAAAATATTCCCCGTCTTGTCAGCACCATTTTATTCGAATTGATCACATAATTTGTACTTGCACCCACTTTTGCCAATTAAAAAATACTTGTGCAATGGTGCTTAAGTGGAAAAATGTGTTGATGCAAGTTTAACACCGGTCTTGAAAGACCTACACTGGCTCCCAGTACGTTTCCAAGCACAATTCAAAGTGTTGGTGCTGACCGTTAAAGCCCTAAACGGCATTGGCCCAGTATATCTGAAGGAGCGTCTCCACCCCCATCGTTCTACCCGGACACTGAGGTCCAGCTCCGAGGGCCTTCTGGCGGTTCCCTCCCTGCGAGAAGCCAAGTTACAGGGAACCAGTCAGAGAGCCTTCTCAGTGGTGGTACCTGCCCTGTGGAACACCTCCCACCAGATGTCAAAGAGAAAAACAACTACCAAACCTTTAGAAGACATCTGAAGGCAGCCCTGTTTAGGGAAGCTTTTAATGTTTAATAGGTTATTGTATTCTAGTGTTTTGTTGGAAGCCGCCCAGAGTGGCTGGGGAAACTCAGCCAGATGGGTGGGGTATAAAATAAATTATTATTATTATTATTATTATTATTATTATTATTATTATTATTATTAAAAAAACAGATTTCCTTCTTTCTTTTAGAAAAGTGCAACATGCGCCCTTTCCAACTGGGACAATTTCAGGCCACTTTCATGTCCTACTTTTAGACATACCACTTTAGACAGCCCTAGCCTCCCCCAAAGAATTTTGGGAGCTGTAGTTTGTGAAGCTTGCTAAGAGACCCCCCCCCCATTCCCCTCACAGAACTACAATTCCCAGAGTTCGCTATGAAGAGAGATTGGCTTTTAAACCATTCTGGGAATCATAGCTCTGTGAGGGGGATGAACCGCAGTAATTTTTGGTCTTTTCAGACAGGCCCCCTGGAGTTAGAAAGTTTGAGAAGCCTTGGCCTAATCCCCTTTTAAAGTCACAAAGCTTATCTCATCGCGTGGCAATGAATGCAAACAATTAAATTCCCCACATTTTTCTTTGGCCAACGGACCCATTTGGAAACTTCAGAAGGCTCCGTGGGCGCCAGTCACAAAATGGCTGCCATTAGGCAGGAGCGTAACACCTAATAGCTGCCACATCTAAAAGATCAGAAAAAAAAGAGATTGGGGACCCAAAATGGAGCAAGCAGCTCCTACCCCCCTTGCTTAGGCATTGTAGGTTTTTGAGGGTATATTTACTGGAAGACTTGTGGCCACCATAGGAAAGAGGAGCTGGCAGGGCCCCTGAATCAGATTATGCACTGTGGGGAAAAGTCTTAATTTCCTGAGAAAGTTCTCCTTCCTCATGCAAAAGCATGGTCAGTGCACAGGGGCTGCCTTGTCTGCAGATCTGATGAGCCAAAAGACAAGTTCTCTTTTTAAATTATTTTTAAACCACTGCTAGGAACCAAAGGGGACGGGGGTGGCACTGTGGGTTAAACCACAGAGCCTAGGACTTGCCAATCAGAAGGTCGGCTCCCGTTGCTCGGTCCCTGCTCCTGCCAACCTAGCAGTTCGAAAGCAAAGTGCAAGTAGATAAATAGGTACCACTCTGGCAGGAAGGTAAAAGGTGTTTCCATGCGCTGCTCTGGTTCGCCAGAAGCGGCTTAGTCATGCCGGCCACATGACCCGGAAGCTGTACGCCGGCTCCCTCAGCCTATAGAGCGAGATGAGCGCCGCAACCCCAGAGTCGGCCATGACTGGACCTAATGGTCCGGGGTCCCTTTACCTTTAAGGAAAAGGAGGAAATTCCGGGATCAAATCAGAAACTGGGATGGCTTCTGTAAATTTGGGCCTGTCCCTGAAAAATAGGGACACTCAGAGGGTCTGATCTAGCTTAGTTTGTTCTACACACTGACAGCTGACAGCTCAGGCAGGCCTACCTGGAGACGCTGCTGGCCCTACATTTGCAAATGTGCAATACATTAAAATGCTTAATATTGCACTGCTGTCGGTTTGGGGGGTCAGTCTGGATGATGTCCTGAGTCCCTTCCAGTTCTTGGGGTCCAAATGCTTGTTTACAAAGCTATTGTACTACAAACCTTACTATATGCTTGTAAAACGTGGACCACTTATCAACGCCATCTCCAACTCCTTGAAAAATTCCATCAACGGCGTCTCCGAAAAATTTTACACACCACTTGGGAAGACAGGCGAACTAATACCAGAGCAGCGGCGTAGCATGGGTTGTCAGCACCCGGGACAAGGCAAGTAATTTGCGCCCCCTAACCCCTAACCTCCCGCCGCTGCCAGCTTCTTCTTGCTGCTGCCTGGGCTGGGGTATTTACGGTAAGGTAGCCACGGCGGCGGGGGCGGGTCCGTGTCAGGTGATCTGAGGCGAGTTGCCGCTGGCGCTGCCGCCCAAACGACGCCGCTTGCCCGGAGGAGGAGGAGGGCAGAGACATGGGGCTCTGCTACAGCCTGCGCCCGAGGCTCTTCGGCGACTCCGGAGCGCGCCCCCCCAGATGTTGCGCCCGGTGCGGACAGCCCCCCCTGCACCCCCCACGCTACGCCACTGTACCAGTGTACTGGAAGAAGCAAAGATCACCAGTGTTAAAGCAATGATTCTTCAACACCAACTTTATTGGAATGGTCATGTTGTGTGGATGCCTGATGATCGTCTTCCAAAGCAACTACTCTATTTCGAACTTAAAAATGGAAAGCGTAATGCTGGTGGTCAACAAAAGAGGTTGAAAGACTGTCTCAAGGCAAATCTAAAAAAATGTAATACAGAACAAATTAAGTTCTTAACCCAAAGTACCACCGTATCCAAAATACCTCAGTCTCTGCTGACCTTCATTCCGAGGAAATTGAACCCTGAGTAAGTGCCCGGAAAGCCTTGGAGTTTCCCCGCTCACAGAGTGAGGTGGCGTGAAACAGCACTTTATAGCAAAAGAACTTCCCGTTTTGAAGTTCTGCTAGTGCGAACCCCTGCAAAGTGACAGGCTGAGCTAGATGGACCAGTGTGTGGAGCGGCTTATGACAGTGCTGCGAACAGGGCTTAATTTCCCCGAAACACACAGTTCCACCCCAGCAGTGCCTTTGTCTATTGTCCCAAGTATGTTCAGAGGCACTTTGGGCCTGTTGTTGCATGTCACTCTTCCCCGGCTTCTGACCAGCGTTCAAAATTAGCCAGGCGCCAGGCACATTTTGCGACTGATTGCAAGCAGTTTGAGAAGTCTTGGCGACTCAAGATTTAAAATTGCTGCCACTGGCACAGAGGGCGCAAGAGGAGAAATGCCTCCCCGATGTTTTGGGGGCAACTCGCAGCCGTGCCAGCCGGAGCTGGCGCAGGTTGCCACGCAAACGTCTGGAGGCCGCCATTGCAACAAATGCAATATGTAAAGATCGAAACCCAAAATGCTGGCAGGCGGAGGCCAATTGAAACCAGTAGCTTGTGTGTGTGCTTCTTCCTGTCCCCGGAGAGAGAGAAGAAACTTTCTCTTCCTCCTAACCAACTTCCGCTGTGCTGAGGAAAGCTTATCTCATACCCTTGTGGCGCCGCTTTGGGCCGGTGGCCCAAATTCTGTTCCCTGTGTGCCATGCCTCTGGATCCACTGAGTTGAGAGCGCCTTCTGCTTTTCAGAGGCTGAGAGGGGATGTTAAATGTCTACAGAGGATCATGTCAGCGGGGAAGGAAATGGGCTTTCCCCACTTGCCTCCTATCACAGCTCTGTGGTTATTGTGGTGGCCATGGTTCGTAGGGAGATAATGCTCTGGGGCGAGTGTTTTTCCTGAGAGCGTAAGGTGTTAAGAATAGTCTGCTATTCATGATATGTGGTGGGAATGTAGAGAAATGTAAAAAAAATTCTGGGAAATGATATATAATGAGTTGAAGAAAATGTTTAAATTAACATTTGTAAAAGAAACCAGAAGCATTTTTGTTAGGGATTGTAGGAAAAGACCTGCCAAGGAAAATAAAGAATCTATTTACATATGAGACATTAAAAAATTCTGGGAAATGATATATAATGAGTTGAAGAAAATGTTCAAATAAACATTTGTAAAAAAACCCAGAAGCATTTTTGTTAGGGATTATAGGAAAAGACCTGCCAAGGAAAGTAAAGAATCTATTTATGTATGTGACAACGGCAGCAAGAGTCTTAATAGCACAAGGATGGAAGAATGAGGAAATCCCGACAAAAGAACAGTGGCAAGAGAAATTGATGGATTATGCAGTACTGGCAAAATTGGCATGCAAGCTGCGAGACAAAGACAACTGTGACTTTAAAGAAGAATGGGAACTTTTTACAAACTACTTAAAAAAAAACACAAAATGAATAGGACTCCTTGGCAGGTTTTGAATAAACACACACAAATTTATTGATAGTTAACATAATAGACAGAGAATTTGAGGATCTTTACAATTTTACAATGTGCAGAGAATAACATGTGTTGAAAAATCAGAGAGAGGAGCTGAGGGAAGTCTTGGGGGTTCTTCCTGGGGTTGCGGAAGGGGGAAAGGGACAATGAAGATGCTATGTTTTGATAATTTGTTATGTTGAAATTCTTAATAAAATGATTTAAAACAAAAAAAGAAAAGTCTCCTGGATCAGGCCAATGGCTCATCTGGTCCAGACTCCAATTGTGCAAGCCGGTTTCAAGCTCAAGGGTGTAGCACCACATGAGTGAAGGCCTCCACCTGAACTTCAAAAACAAACCATAAGCACACAGCCAACACTTCCCTGCACATGGGGAAAAGTTGGAAGCAAGATCATCTTCCTGAAGGGCTTGCTTTCTGTGTGCAGGGAACTCGGTTTCCACACCCGAATTTTTCACCTGCTGTGCAGCCTCATGACTCTGACTATCTGTGAGGGAAAATTCCTGTTCCTGATAGCAGCAGGAGCACCGCCGCTGGGTTAGTCTTTTAAATATTGCTTTGCCTATTTCAATAATGATGGACGGGCCACGGGATTAGCTTGAAGCTTCCAGAATTATGTTGGCTTGAGTTACAAGGACAGAAGAAGAAAGGGTCTGTTTGGGATGCAAATTGGATGCAGCTCAACTCGGACGCTGAGGGTGCTGCGCTCATGGATGCAAACTCTGAAGCTTATGGTTGCCCACAAAAGCTCACAGTGTTACTATTGGTTTGCAAATTCCTTAACGGCTTGGGACCAGTTCACTTGTGGGATATGCCCTCTTGATTGCACAACATCATACTTGTTCTGCACTTGCAAGAAACCAATCTGTTAGTGTGGCAGCACCTGCACTTTGGAACTCCCTGCCACTTGACGCCTTGGCTGTACTTTTTGACAGTTGCCTTAAAACATTGTTATTTAGGCAAGCCTACAGACGTGTCGAAGTTACATGTCTTTTATTTCTTTTTAGCTGCTGTTGATTTTAACAATCTTCTGAATATTTTAAACCACCTGCTTTTACTTGTTTTAATCAGCAATGTTAATGTTTTGTTTTATATCTCTGTAAACCGCTTGGAGATTTCCTTACCATCAAGCGGTACATAAATTTTGTTAGATAAATAAAGAAAAATATGTATTTCTGTCTATAGCCTGGGCTTAAGATCTCTTCTCTCTCTCCCTCCCTTCTCCCAGAATGGGCTGCATGAAATCCAAAGAAATCAACCTCAGTGAAAAAGTCTCAGGAACTCGCCAGAGCTTGGGTGATCCGAATAATTACATACCAGACCCCACTGACGGTGTAAGTCTAAATTATTTGCCAGTCTCAAAGGAAAAGTCAGGAGAGATACCGTAAAGTAAGGGGAAATGTGTGTGCGTCTTATGGAGCGAATGCAGGCTGCGCAGCTATCCCAGAAGCCAGAACAGCAAGAGGGAATGCTGCTTCCACTGCGCAGCGCTCCCTCTTGCTGTTCTGGCTTCTGAGATTCAGAATTATTTTTTTTCTTGTTTTCCTCCTCCAAAAACTAGGTGCGTCTTGTGGTCTGGTGCGTCTTATAGAGCGAAAAATACGGTATTTTATGAAGTGTTAAGGGTATTTAACGGAGTGTTAAGAACTTTCTGATGGTAAGGGCTGTTTGACAGCAGAACGGATTCCCTCCAAAAGTGGTGAACTTTTCCTTCCTTGGAGGTTTTTAAGCAGAGGGTTGAATGGCCATCTGTCATGGATTGTTTAGCTGTGATTCCTGCATTTCAGGGGGCTGGAATCGATGACCTTTGGGGGTCCCTTCAAACTCTTGAAGTATTAGCTTTAAAGGCTGGTATATTTGTGATGGGATAAGCTTTTTGGGGGTTAGAGATCACCATTAGAGGAAGCAGTCTCTAACGCGTAAGAGCTGATGCCATCTTCCGTAAGGCCAAGAGAAAAGAGCACACCAAGAACTCAGGCCAATATAAGTTTGTATAGTGGGAGTGGTCCCTACTCGCAAAAATCAATAGTCAATTGTAACAAGAACTAATCCATTCAAAAGTATGTATTCTGACAAGAATTACAAACTCAAATAGAGTTATGACTGTTTTACAATTTATGTTAATTTAGAATTTAAATGTATTTTCATGTAATATTTGATACTTCCAGCTGATGAAGGTGAATACATCGAAAAAGGGCTCTGTCCTGGTTTCTGATCCGTAATTGACTTCTGACTTCTGCTCAGTGATCGAAACTAAGACCTTCTCGTCAAATCTGACTTGGGACTAACATGAACTTACTGGTTTCTGACCCGTATACAGTGGTACCTCAGGTTACATACGCTTCAGGTTACAGATTCCGCTAACCCAGAAATAGTGCTTCAGGTTAAGAACTTTGCTTCAGGATGAGAACAGAAATCGCACAGCAGCAGCAGGAGGCCCCATTAGCTAAAGTAGTGCTTCAGGTTAAGAACAGTTTCAGGTTAAGAACGGACCTCCGGAACGAATTAAGTACTTAACCTGAGGTACCACTGTACATATCCTTATGAGTTTGAGTTGGTAATCTCTGTTTGAGTTTGCAATCCTTGTCAGAATACATACTTTTGAATGGATTAGTTCTTGTTACAATTGACTATTGATTTGCAAGTAGGGACCACTCCCACTATTGAAACTTATAGTCATACCTCAGGATAAATACGCTTCAAGTTGAGCGCTTTCGGGTTGCGCTCCGCAGCGACCCGGAAGCAACGGAGCACGTTACTTGTGGGTTTCGCCGCTCACGCATGCGCAGACGCTCAAAATGACGTCACGCGTCTTACGTTCTGTTCGGGATGTGAACGGGGCTCTGGAACGGATCCCGTTCCCATCCCGAAGTACCACTGTATTGGCCTGAGTTCTTGGTGTGCTCTTTTATCTTGGTATATTTAATAACAAGACCTCCATCTTCCGTAAGGCCTGCAGTGATGTGACTTGTCTGCTGAAACAGCTGGAGGGCACCAGGTTGGCAAAGCGTGCTGCAGAGACTGTGGAGCAGACTGAGGATTAGAAATGCTGTCTTGCGGAGGTTCTGTTTTCCTGTTCATAAATTATTTCTGTTCTCTTGCATCCCAGCTTGGCCCAGCACCCAGCAAACCGAAGCCTCCCACAACTGATGGTATGTATACCTGCCTCTATGGTCTGTCTTGGCGGGAGGGAGACCCATAGATCTATGGCCCCTGGCCTACATCAGAGAGCTGTGTGCTGCAAGGACATACGTCCCCTTGTCAGCCAGGGGCTCAGCTTTCCTCATCCATAAAGGGATAAAGGGTAGAGGGACCCCTGACCATTAGGTCTAGTCGTGACCAACTCTGGGGTTGCAGCGCTCATCTCGCTTTACTGGCCGAGGGAGCCGGCGTACAGCTTCCGGGTTATGTGGCCAGCATGACTAAGCCGCTTCTGGCGAGCCAGAGCAGCGCATGGAAACGCTGTTGACCTTCCCACCGGAGTGGTACCTATTTATCTACTTGCACTTTGACGTGCTTTCGAACTGCTAGGTTGGCAGGAGCTGGGACTGAGCAATGGGAGCTCACCCCGTCGCGGGGATTCGAACAGCCGACCTTCTGATCGGCAAGTCCTAGGCTCTGTGGTTTAACCCACAGCACCACCCGCGTCCGTTGTTCCACATCCATACCTGCCTATCAACCAGCTGGTTTTATTTGTTTTATTTTGTAACGTTTATATACCAATTGCAAAAACAAAAATAAAAAATCAGAGTGGTTTACAAAAAAGAAAAAAAGATAGAGGAATAAGATCATCAATGAGGAAATTCAGCAACAATAACTTAGCAATAATTTAGCTGCCGGCGAAGTGAGGTTTGTCCCTGCGTCCAGAGTAAACACTGTGTTTGTGTGAATACAACCCTTGCTCTTCTCACAGGAACAGAGGAGTTTATCGTTCTGGCTCTTTACGACTATGAAGCCATCCACAAGGAAGACCTGAGCTTCCAGAAGGGCGACCATCTCAAAGTCCTAGAAAAGTAAGTACAAGACCCGCTTTAGTGCAGCTGTTTACTGAGCGAAGGTGGGGGGGTGTCTTATCTGGGGCCCTGATCTGCTGCCTGCTTTCTTTGGGAATCTGGTTGACCCAATTTGTTATATCCTATCTGCTGGATCCCCGTAAGTGTTAGGGCAGCTCTGCAGGGGTGGTTTTTTTGCCTGCTTTCAGTTTGGTGTGAAAAATCCACCCCCGCCCCTCGCACAGTAAGGGGCTAGGGTTATCTATTAGTTCGTTTGTGTTCTTGCTAAATAGCATAAAAATATGTTTAATATATAATATAGTACACTTCCTGGTGGCTATTTGCAGATTAGCTGCACTGCAGAAGGCGTGCACATTCAAGAAACGCAAAATAACTTTTGCTAGGTTTTAGCTACAAAAACAAAAACTCCTTTTACACTAAATTACAATATATCAATAATCACGACCCATCCACCAGGGTACTGAGAGAGCTGCATGCTGCTCTTTATATACCATACCCAACAGCTTAATTACTACAACTTAACAGCACCTGCTATACTGCTTCATGGCTGTAAAACTAGGTCATGTTATTTGCTCTGGCCTTTAAAGAAATACACACCTTGTGGAACCATAATGAACCTTCAAATTTAAAGAGACCATTCAACACTTCTGTGCTACAAGTCTAAGACACAGAAAGCCATAGCTGTCAACGTTTCCCTTTTTTAAAGGGAAATTCCCTTATTCCGAATAGGATTCCTCGCAAGAAAAGGGAAAAGAAAAGGGGAAAGGACATGGGTGGCGCTGTGGGTTAAACCACAGAGCCTAGGGCTTGCCGATCAGAAGGTCGGCGGTTCAAATCCCCGCGACGGGGTGAGCTCCCGTTGCTCGGTCCCTGCTCCTGTCAACCTAGCAGTTCGAAAGCACGTCAAAGTGCAAGTAGATAAATAGGTACCGCTCTGGCGGGAAGGTAAACGGCGTTTCTGTGCGTTGCTCTGGTTCACCAGAAGCGGCTTAGTCATGCCGGCCACATGACCCAGAAGCTGTATGCCGGCTCCCTCGGCCAGTAAAGTGAGATGAGCACTGCAACCCCAGAGTTGGCCACGACTGGACCTAATGGTCAGGGGCCCCTTTACCTTTACCTTTATGCAGAAAGCATGTAGCGGCATTCATATCTCTACACTACGAAGCAGCTTTGGTTGTCTACCTCTTTACCTGCTGTCGCTTCCTTCCAGGGTATTGTAGTTCGTTTATGGTACTGAGATGTCTGTTTCCAGCTCCCTCTGACAGATCCTAAACTTACGTAGCAGAGGTATTTCCCCTGGGGACAAGGAAGGATTATAAAACCTGTTTAAATCCATAGCATAGGTAGATTTGCCCCTGAGAATCCTGGAATTCCCAGCACCCTTCACAAACTGCAGTTTTCAGGATCCGTTGAGGGGAGCCATGTGCTTAAAATATACAGGGAGAAAGAAGAAGAAGAAGGAGGAGGAGGAGGAGGAGGAGGAGAAGAAGAAGGAGGAGGAGGAGGAGGAGGAGAAGAAGGAGAAGGAGAAGAAGAAGAAGGAGAAGAAGGAGGAGAAGGAGGAGAAGGAGGAGAAGAAGGAGGAGGAGGAGGAGGAGGAGGAGGAGGAGGAGGAGGAGGAGGAGGAGGAGAAGAAGAAGAAGAAGAAGAAGAAGAAGAAGAAGAAGAAGAAGAAGAAGAAGAAGAAGAAGAAGAAGAAGAAGAAATTATTTATACCCCACCCATCTGGCTGGGCTTCCCCAGCCACTCTGAGCGGCTTCCAACATAATATTAAAATACAGCAATGCATCAAACATTAAAAGCTTCCCTAAACAGGGCTGCCTTCAGATGTCTTCTAAAAGTCAGATAGTTGTTTATTTCCTTGACATCTGACGGGAGGGTGTTCCACAGGGCGGGTGCCACTACCGAGAAGGCCCTCTGCCTGGTTCCCTGTAACTTGGCTTTTCGCAGCGAGGGAACCGCCAGAAGGCCCTCGGCGCTGGACCTCAGTGTCCAGGCTGAACGATGGGGGTGGAGACGCTCCTTCAGATATACTGGACCGAGGCCGTTTAGGGCTTTAAAGGTCAGCACCAACACTTTGAATTGAATGCAGCCATAGACCTTTGAGGCCCATTCAGACAACTACATAGACACGTGTTGGTGGACCCTGGGAAAGTCTGTGGCTCATAGCCCTTGAACCCTTGCCACATACCCTTTAAGATGCATTTTAGCATCTACCCAAGCACAGCATCTTATATCATGCCTCGATTACGTTTTGGCCTTTGGCAAACCTCAGCAGCAAGCGGTCTGCATTGCAGGGGCGTCGCTGCGGGGAATGCCTCTCTGAGCACCCGTTTTTGAACTTGCCATTTGAGCGTGTGATTGCTCCTCCTCAGTGACAGAAGATTGATATTCTCGACCTCTTTCCTCCCCCCTTCCTCTCTCTTTCTTTCTCTCTGCAGCTCGGGCGAGTGGTGGAGTGCCAAAGCCCTCTCGACAGGCCAAGAGGGGTATATCCCCAGCAACTATGTCGCCAGAGTGAACTCCCTGGAGACGGAGGAGTGAGTCTGCTCTGTGGCTGGGGGGTGGCGAAGGGGGTCTTCTCTGCACGGCGCTTATCTAGGACTGCAATTAAAGTGCCCTTTTTGCTGGGGTGTGGGGTGTGGGACAGTGAACAGGGGCAAAAGACCCTCTCCACCTAGCCCTGCCAGCTTCCACCAGCATAGAATTCACTAGTATCAACCCAAGTGTTGATGGATTTTCACGAGGACTTAAAAAAAATTAAAAATTAAGAAAGCGGACCAAAGACTCTTTATGTACGCCACAGCAGCGGCAAGAAACATGCTTGCCCCAAACTGGAAACTGCAAGAAATTCCTACTACAGTGGTACCTCGCAAGACGAATGCCTCGCAAGACGGAAAACTCGCTAGACGAAAGGGTTTTTGGTTTTTTGAGTTGCTTCGCAAGACGATTTTCCCTATGGGTTTGCTTCGCAAGACGGAAACGTCTTGCAAGTTTGTTTCCTTTTTCTTAAAACCGTTAATACAGTTGCGACTTGACTTCGAGGAGCAACTCATAGCACGCGGTGTGGTAGCCTTTTTTGAGGTTTTTGAAGACTTTGGTATTTTTGAAGCTTTTCCAAAACTTTTCCGAAACCGTGCTTCGCAAGACGAAAAAATCGCAAGGCGAAAAAACTCGTGGAACGAATTAATTTCGTCTTGCGAGGCACCACTGTATTGCAGAGTGGCAGACAAAATTGATGAGTTATGCAGAGCTAGCCAAACTGATGGGAAGAATTTGGGATCAGGACAATCAGAGGTTTCAAGAAAGTTGGAGTAAATTTATGGTGTATATAAAGGATAATTGTAAAACTTTAAAAAGACTGGCAGGATTGAAATAGCTCTTACAATGTATGACAGATAGAAGGTTAAAAAGTAGAATACGCAATATAAGAAAATAAGGGATACCCGCTGAAGGGAGGGAGGGAAGTCGCACGCTCGGCAGAGCTAGAGGTATTTATGTGATTTAATGTATTGTATTGCAAAAGTATGTATAAGGAAAATAATAACTACAGAATTGCGAAACTGATGTGGAAATGTGGAGAAACAAACTAAAGTTTGGGAAAATGAGAAACTGAAATGGACCGATTTGCCCCTGCCTGCTTGGGAAGGTGCGCAGCGCATGCAAAGCCAGATCTGGCTTGCTCACCCTCCTGTCTTGTGACTGTTGCCCCCACCCCCAGGTGGTTTTTCAGAGGCGTCAGCAGGAAGGACGCTGAGCGGCAGCTGCTGAGCCCTGGGAACATGATAGGCTCCTTCATGATCCGAGACAGCGAGACAACCAAGGGTAAGTGGCGCTGGTTCATGTGTGCATGTGCCAGATCAGCTCTTCCCCACAAACAGCTGGACCTGCTGGAGAACAGATGCCCTGTTGTTCAGAGAGGAGCTGCTCGCGCATAGAAAGAGCCTGCTGGATGCCTCTGGGAAACCCACAAGTGGGGCAGAGCGCATGTTGTTCAGTTTGCTTTCCTCTTCCACCGTCCAGTGGCGTAGCAAGGTCAGGTGGTACCCAGGGCGGAAAATTTCTTGTGAACCCCACCCCCACATTGAAATTTATTTATTTTTGCCTGCAAAAATGGTTTGACTTTACAGTCATACCTCATGTTACGTTTGCTTCAGGTTGAGCGTTTTCAGGTTGCGTCCTGCAGCGACCCGGAAGTACCGTAACGGGTTACTTCCGGGTTTTGCCGCTCACGCATGCACAGACGTGCAAAATGATATCACGCACATGCACAGAAGCAGCGAAACATGACCCGCGCATGCACAGAGGTGGAGACGCGGGTTGCGTTCTTTTTAGGTTGCAAACGGGCCTCCGGAACGGACCCTGTTCGCAAACAGAGATACCACTGTATTTCATTTTATTTTGCGGAGCCAAAGTTGTGGGGCTATTTAGTTGTGGAGCTTTCTTTGGGGAAGCCGAAGTCACACACCCTACAGCCTGCACGCCAAAACCAAAGCGTCTCTCGCAGACGTTGAGTGCCGCACAGCATTTTGTCACCCCCCCCCCTCGGAGGTGGCACCCAGGCCGGACCTCAACCCACCTTGCAACGCCTCTGCCACCATCCTGATATACCATCTTCCTTTCCCCTCTCTTCCTGTGGGGCAGTCCCAGAGTGGAGGGTTTGGGCAGGCCCCACTTGTTGTGTGAGCCTCTCCCGTGCAGGGGGCTGAAATGGGGTTGGGGAGGAAGTGCTGGCGATCCAGTGGCACTTTCCAGTTCTCCCTCCCAGTGGCGTAGCGTGGGGGTGCAGGGGGGGCCGGCCGCACCGGGCGCAACATCTGGGGTTAGGGCAAATCCACAGGTTAGGGGGCGCAAATCCACGGGTTAGGGGGCGCAAATTACTTGCCTTGCCCCGGGTGCTGACAACCCACGCTACGCCACTGCTCCCTCCTCCTGCTGCTGCTGCTGCTGCTGCTGCTGCTGCAGGACAGCTTGACCCACCTCTGCTTCTTGCAAGCTTTTCCCTATGTGTGACTTGCAGGAGGAGGCGCTGACAGCGACAGGGAGGTTAGATGGCCAGGTTCCTGCCTGGTGCTTGAGGACAAGTCTTGCCCAGCGCCTGAGGACAGGTCCTGCCCTGCCATCTGTATCTCTTGCTTGAGCAGGATGTTCTTCCACAAGGACCACAGGAGAACCCAAACAGCCCCTTGCAATCTTCCCCAATTCCTGGGTGAGTCAAGGCAATCATAGGGCAGGGGTCAGTAGGCTGACTTGTGAGGGTTGGGCTTGAACATAGGAAAGGCCTGGTTTGTGTGTAACACACAGTTTAGGAAAATACCGTATTTTTCGCTCTATAAGACGCACCAGACCACAAGACGCACCTAGTTTTTGGAGGAGGAAAACAGAACAGCAAGAGGGATCGCTACGCAGTGAAAGCAGCAATCCCTCTTGCTGTTCTGGCTTCTGGGATAGCTGCGCAGCCTGCATTCGCTCCATAAGACGCACACACATTTCCCCTTACTTTTTAGGAGGGAAAAAGTGAGTCTTATAGAGCAAAAAATATGGTACCTTTTCATCATTCAAACCCTACCTAGTGGTTTGTTTCCTGCCAGCAAACCACAATGGGGAAGCCATGGCTTGCTGGTTAACAGACCTTGGTTTGTCTTAACTATGGCTTGGCATTATTGGCAAAACCTATTTGGTGTTTCGCAACTTTCCAACTAGTTGCAGGACCTCAGCCAGACCTAGCAGAGTAAACGCAGAATCCACGGAAACAATTGGCGACTTGACTGTAGACAGGATAGACGAAGCAGGAACCAGGAACTTGTAGTTAGGTGTTTATTATATACAGTGGACTATTTACAGGAACAGAACACGGATCTTTAGCTTGCTCTCTCTGACACGACTCAGAACTCCTACACTGACACTGACCCACCGAACTAACAGATAGTAGGCAATTAATTTCACCTCCCTTGAGAGAGCTTGACCTATCATGGAGCTGTCTCCATGCCTCCTTATCACCAGGCAGACTTACTCCTTCACATGACCTTTTGGCTGTCTGCCAAACCTTAATTGACTCTGTGTGAGTAGCTGCACGTACACAATTTACAAACAGGAATTGCATGTGAACCGTGGTTCGCTTGACCAGCCCACCGGAAACACTTGCCAAGCTAAATAGGCATGAAGCGAGAGCAGTTGGTAAACAAACCATGGCTAACTTGTGGTTTGCTAAACAAACCACGGCTTGAACCAGCCTCCCCCAGCCTGGTGCCCGCCAAACGTTGTGCACAACTCCCATCAGCTGTGTGGCTGGGGCTGATGGGAGTTGTAGTCCAAAAATTCAAGAGGGCATACCAGTTTGAGGAAGGCTGCCTTACACAAACCATGGTGTAGTGTTACATGCAAACCAGGTCATTGCACCCAGCCTGAGGCAATGTTCATACGGCAGATATCATCAGTAGTTTTATATGTTTCTCGTTGAAGCTGGCTCCTTAGAAACATTCCCCTCCTCCCATTTATAATGGTCTAGATCCAAAACCCCAAGAGCAGGTATGGGAGAACTGGTGAAATGGTCACGTGAACCTCCTTTCTCAGTTTGCATTCCTCCCTCTTGGCCCAGGTTCTTACTCCTTGTCTGTGCGAGATTTCGACAACCAGAAGAAAATGGAGACAGTGAAGCATTACAAGATTCGGACGCTGGACAGCGGCGGCTTCTACATTTCTGCCCGGAACACCTTCAGCAGCCTGCAGGAACTGGTCAGCCATTATAAGGGTGAGCCTGTCCTGGGTGCTCCCTGGAACGCCTCCATCTCTTTGTGACTGGCTCACGGTCACCCGGTGCGTTTTACAGCCAGGAGGGATTTGAACCTTGGTCTCCAAGGTCTCTAGTCCAGGACTCTAACCACTACTCCACGCCACTCTCTCACGTATCTGCGATGGGTTCATATCATAAAGATATTTTTATTAAAATTTTCAACATATTACAAAATGAAAAAAGAAAAAAGAAAAATACAAAATAAAAATAGTTAAAAAACAATTCCATCTTTCCATTACTTATCTTTCACTTGCTTGTTTCCCGGACCTCCTCACACCTCCCTTTTTGTATTCCAATTCAATTTGTTAGTTCAGCAAATCCTTCCCCTCTTTGTTTATCCTAGTTTTTAATCTTAAAATATTGTAACATTAAATTTTTACCTGTTAATAATCCATTTTTTCATATTCCTTATAGCGTTATAACTAAAAACCACTTAACTTTTTATCCAACATCATTCTAACATTCATTAATTTTACAATATTTCTGTAGATAGTCTTTAAATTTCTTCCAATCTTCTTCCACCGACTCTTCTCCCTGGTCTCGGATTCTGCCGGTCATTTCTGCCAGTTCCATATAGTCCATCACCTTCATCTGCCATTCTTCCAGAGTGGGTAGATCTTGTGTCTTCCAATACTTTGCAATAAGTATTCTTGCCGCTGTCGTGGCGTACATAAAGAAAGTTCTATCCTTCTTTGGCACCAATTGGCCGACGATGCCCAGGAGAAAGGCCTCTGCGATGGGTTCATATCAAGGCTTCTCCATGGTGGCACAAGTGTAACAAAATTTGTGGTCCGTTTGGGGCCTTGTTTCCAAAAGCTCCAGCCTGCAGCCTTGCCTTGGGATCCTGCAGGGTAGAATAACCTGGTGTTATCTTCCAGGGCAAACTGATGGTCTATGTCAAAAGCTGACTTACCCGTGTATCGCTCCGAAACCTCAGCAGCCCTGGGAGAAAGATGCCTGGGAAATCCCCCGCAGCTCTCTGAAACTGGAGAAGAAACTGGGAGCTGGGCAATTCGGAGAAGTCTGGATGGGTAAGAATGTCGGAACCGGCCTGTCAAAGGATGAGGCTGAGGGTCTCCCTAGTCCTCTATGTTAGTTCCCTGTGATGGCCAGCCAGATGGGCTTTGGGAAGCAGAGTTATACTGCCTCTGAACATGGAGGCCACATCTGGTAACCATCTGTTGCAGCCAATTCCATATGTTATAATAATAATAATAATTTATTATTTATACCCCGCCCACCTGGCTGGGTTTCCCCAGCCACTCTGGGTGGCTTCCAACAAAACACTAAAATACAGTAATACATCAAACATTAAAAGCTTCCCTAAACAGGGCTGCCTTCAGATGTCTTCTAAAAGTTTGGTAGTTGTTTTTCTCTTTGGCATCTGGTGCGAGGGCGTTCCACAGGGCGGGTGCCACCACCGAGAAGGCCCTCTGCCTGGTTCCCTGTAGCTTTGCTTCTCACAGCGAGGGAACCACCAGAAGGCCCTCGGTGCTGGACCTCTGTGTCCGGGCAGAACGACGGGAGTGGAGACGCTCCTTCAGGTTTACTGGACCGAGGCCATTTAGGGCTTTAAAAGTCAGCACCAACACTTTGAATTGTGCTCGGAAACGTACTGGGAGCCAATGTAGGTCTTTCAAGACCGGTGTTATATGGTGTCGGCGGCCGCTCCCAGTCACCAGTCTAGCTGCCGCATTCTGGATTAGTTGTAGCTTCTTCATATGTTCATGAAGAAACCCCAGGAGAGTCTGGAACCGTGCTGCCTGATGTGCTAGCTTTCTAGATGCAGGGTGCTTCTGACACTGGGTCTTGCCAAATAATGTCCATAGGCTTTGGGGGCCTGTTGTTTTAGTCTAGAAACTGTTCTTACCTAAAGCTAAAGAATTCCGTAGCCCATTCCACATTCTGCTTTTACAACGCACCCCGTGCTTGCCTGGAAATCACAGACTGCACAACATCCCTGGGCATCAGTTAGCATAGTGTTTTGGGTCTCATATGGTCTCCCTGGGTATGGTGATGGAAAGATCCATTTCCCATGATGGATAGCTCACTTGGTAAAGCATTGGACCCTTGACCTCAGGCTCGTGAGTTTGAGCCCCATGTTGGGCAAAAGGATTCCTGCATTTCAGGGCGTTGGAATGGACGATGCTCTGTGATTCTGCCGCTCTGAAACAGCCCCTTCTCTCCTCTCCAGCCACCTACAACATGCACACAAAAGTGGCCGTCAAAACCATGAAGCCAGGGAGCATGTCTGTGGAGGCCTTCCTGGAAGAGGCCAACATCATGAAGACCCTGCAGCACGACAAGCTGGTCAAGCTGCATGCCGTTGTGACCAAGGAGGAGCCCATTTACATCATCACCGAATACATGGAGAAAGGTGAGACGCAGGAAGGAGCGGAAGGCTCAGCAGCAGCCTTTGCCAACCTGGTGCTCTCCAGATGTTTGGGGCTACAGACTCAGCCGGCACATCTGGAGGGTACCAGGTTGGTGAAGCCTGTTCCATCCCCAAGCTTCTGTCCCCAAAAGGAGGTTTTCGCAAAAGGCACCTGCCCAACAATACCTTTTTCACTCGTCCTTCTCTTTTTTTACTTTTTAAATAATTTTTTATTGGAAATTTTATTTACAACATAACATAAACCCCCCACCACCCCCAATACAGAAATCCACCCTCATTAAACGTGAACATAACATACAATAAGCATAACACACAACAATACAAACAACAAATAAAAGACTTCCTTTATCCTGTATCTGGCCTCCTTGTTTACTTCTTATAAGCTGTTTCCTTTATGAATAATTATTAAGATTTTTCTAACTATAACTTGAATATCCACAAAGTCTCCTGCAGACATTAATTGAAACAAGTCCAGGCATGTATTTTAGGGCACTGTTTTGTGAAGTATTCTCTGCATTTCCCCCCTGCTTTTTGAAACTCTTGTCTAGTGTGATCTCAAATTGCCTCTGTTAATCTAGCCAATTCAATATACTCTAACAGTTTATCTTGCCATTCCTTTTTTTTCACTCGTCCTTCTCTGTTTTCAGCCTTCTCATCACAATCAAGAAGGCTAGAAACTGGAAACGTTTTTTTAAAAGCAACATGAAACCTGAGTTCCTTAAGAGTCGGGGTTATTGCCTTGTTTTTGGCAGCAGGCAGCCTTCCTCACGGTCTCCCAGCATCTACAGGGCTGGTACAATTTAGCAGCATTCTGCGGAGGCGCCGTCAGCTCCTAGCACATGAGTGCCACATGCTAATGAGGTTGCGCAGGATGCAGCACGCAGCTGGGAGGAAGAGATAGCTGGGTGGGGAGCAGCAGGAGAAGGTGGAGGAAGAAGATACTAGAATTGCAGAGTTAGAAGGGGCTCCCGGGGTCATCTAGTCCAACCCCCTGCAATGCAGGAATCTCACCTAAAGCATCTCTGGCAGGTGGTCACCCAACCTCTGCTTAGAAACCTCCAAGGAAGGAGAGTCCACTGCCTTCTGAGGGAGTCTGTTCCGCTGTCTGACGGCTCTTGCTATCAGAAAGTCTTTCCTAATGCTTAGCTAGAATCTCCTTTCTTGTAACTTGAATGCATTGGTTCAGGTCCTGCCCTCTGGGGCAGCAGAAAACAAGTTTCTCCATCTTTCATGCAACAGTCCTTAAGATAATAAGAATAAGAATAAGAATTTATACCCCGCCCTCCCCAGCCAAGACCGGGCTCAGGGCAGCTAACACCAGATATAAAACAGTTGATTGAAATACAACTTTAAAAAACAAGATTAAAATGCAACATTAAAATGCAGCCTCATTTCTGCAGAAACTAAAAAAATATATTAAAAAATGGGGGATGAAAATGTCAAATCTTCACCAAGGCTAACTATCCAGACTGGTCCTACGTGGACCAGAAAAAAGCCAGGGAAGTCCCCAAATAGGAGTTCCATCATAGGAGAAAGGAAAGAGGGGGAGGGGATCAAGTTGATTCCAAGCCAAAGGCCAGGCGGAACAACTCTGTCTTACAGGCCCTGCAGGGCCCTGGTCTCATGAGACAGAGCGTTCCACCAGGCCGGGGCCAGTGTTGAAAAGGCCCTGGCTCTGGTTGAGGCTAATCTGACTTCCTTAGGGACCTCTAGTGTGTTGCTATTTATGGACCTTAAGGTGCTCCGTGGGGCATCCCGGGATATTTGAAGTCAGATATTATGAAAGTGCCTTTACCTCTAAGGTGGGAGTAAGCCCCTCTGGAACAAAGGAGATTACTCCAGAGTCCAGATGCAGAAGACTCGGCTGCATCCTTGAGAGGCCACCTTACCAGATGTCCCTGCAAAACTCTTTGGTGCTAATTATGATATAGGGCAGCTTTTCCCAACCTGGTGCCCTCCAGCCATTTTGGATTACAACTCCCACCAGCCCCTGGGAAAGGCTGATTATAGGGAGACAGGGTGGGGTAAGCCCGTGTCTCTGAGCATCCAGACAGCCCATGTCTATGTGAGCCTGGGAACAAAGTATGTGCTGCCCCACTGAGCAATGGGTCCCTTCCTAATGAAAGATCTGGCCCCCTCTGAAGAACACAATGGACTGCGCCCTGATGAGTTTATTTCCTCTCCGCAGGTAGTTTGCTGGATTTCCTGAAGAGTGATGAGGGTCACAAACAGCAGCTCCCTGTATTGATAGACTTCTGTGCCCAGGTGAGTGTGACCTGAAAAAGAGACCTGCTACTGGATCAGGCCAAAGGGAGCTCATCCAGTCTAGCATCCTTTTCTCTCTCTCTCTCTTTTTTAAAAAAATTAATTCATTTTTCATTTTCATTCACTTTGCTATCTCTCTACAGAAAAGGTTATTAATAACATAACATCAAACCTATAAACCTAAAAATAAAATTAACTACATCATCTTATTTCACCATCTTCTAAACATTTTCTGATGCTAATAATGTGGATGTTTATTTAAATCCTGCCATCAAGTCTATTGCCTTCCTTTGTTTCTGCAAATATAATATGAATGGTTCCCAATCTTTTTCAAAGTCCCTGTTGTCTTTTTCTCTTAGTCTTTCTGTCACTTTTGCCAGTTCTGCATAGTTCATCAACTTCTCTTGCCATTGTTCTTTAGTTGGGATTTCTCCAGTCTTCCACTTTTGTGCAATCAACATTCTTGCTGCTGTAGTGGCATACATAAATAAAGCCCTCATTTCTTTTGGTATGTCTTGACCTAAAATACCTAATATAGCATCCTTTTCTCACAGTGGCCAACCAATGCTTGAGACAAACGCACAAGTAGTACTTGAATCTCTCCCCTCCTGTGGTCTCCAGGATTTAGAAGCCTAGTAGCCATTGATAGCCCTCTTCTCAATGAATTTGTCTCATCCTTGTTTAAAGTTGCTGGCCATCCCCGCCTTCTGTGGCAGCAAGTTCTGTAGTTGTCAGGTGTGCGTGCAGGAGCCAGGCCCTGTGACCAGTAGGGCTTCGCAGGACTGGGGCCTTCCTAAGTTTGTTCTGAAGAGGCAAGGCGCGGCCACACAGGTGAGGCCGCTTGGTAACTCACTGCACCTGGTGGCAAGAGCCGGGAAGGGATAGAAGGTCAGCATTTCTTTGCCACAGCAACACGCTTCCTGCCTTGCTGCGTTTGACTCCTTGATCCTCGGACCCCTGACTTCATGACTCTTTGCTTCTTGATCCTCGGACCCTTGACTTCATGACTCCTTGCTTCTTGATCCTCGGACCCCTAACTTCGTGACTCCTTGCTTCTTGATCCTCGGACCCTTGACTTCGTGACTCCTTGCTTCTTGATCCTCGGACCCCTGACTTCTTGACCCCTTGCTTCTTGATCCTCGGACCCCTGACTTCGTGACTCCTTGCTTCTTGATCCTCGGACCCTTGACTTCTTGACTCCTTGCTTCTTGATCCTCGGACCCCTGACTTTGTGACTCCTTGCTTCTTGATCCTCGGACCCCTGACTTTGTGACTCCTTGCTTCTTGATCCTCGGACCCCTGACTTTGTGACTCCTTGCTTCTTGATCCTCGGACCCCTGACTTTGTGACTCCTTGCTTCTTGATCCTCGGACCCCTGACTTCGTGACTCCTTGCTTCTTGATCCTCAGACCCTTGACTTTGTGACCCCTTGCTTCTTGATCCTCGGACCCCTGACTTCGTGACTCCTTGCTTCTTGATCCTCGGACCCCTGACTTCTTGACTCCTTGCTTCCTGACCCTCGGACTCTTGGCTTCCTCACTTCTGGCTTCTGGACCCCCGTTCCTGCTCCCACCCCGCCATCTTGCCCCCGGTCCTGACGTCCCCTGCAGGACCGTGACAGTAGTTTTATCTGTGCACTGTGTGGGAAAGGACTTCCTTTCATACCTCTCATAGCTATAGGCAAGAGACACTTTTTAAAGCCTGACCCAAGGTGTCTCAACCCAATGGGGTCTCTATTCCCTCTCTGCAGGGCAGGGTCATCCCAGCTAGAATTCCACACCTGCCCTCCATCCTGCGCAGCCAAGGAAGCTCCTGCAAAACTGCATAGAATCATAGAATTGCAGAGTTGGACCACAAGACTCGTCTAGTCCAGCAGTGCAGGAATGTTTCACCTGACATGTGGCTGAAACCCAAGACCCTGAGCTTAAGAGTCTTGTGCTTTACAAACTGAGCTATTCCAGCTCTTGAATTTATTCAGTTGACGCTAAACTTGTCCAGCTACCAAAAGTCCCAAGTGCTGCAACCTTTCTTTATAGGGTGTCAATCATTTTGGGCACCCCTTTCTGAACCTTTTACAACTCTGCAATATCCTTCTGGACAGGGGCAATGCCACCCCACCTCTACCTGAGCCTCCCTTACCTGGTTTGTGTTGCGGCACTCGCAAAGTGGCAGTGGCAAGTTCTGGTGAGTTCTTGCCAGAAGCCGGTACTGCTACTGGCACCACTTCTCTGCCAGCTGGTGGTGTGGCGTTCTTGGGCATCTGCCCTGCTTTTTGAGGCCAGGTGGCTAAAACTCTGCAGAGGATTCCAAATGCAGTCGTACCCTAGATTCGTACGACGGCAATATGTTTCGCTCACTGCCCAAAACAACTCTACGAGGATTGTCCCACCTGTTCAGGGCCAAAGAAGATGTCCAACGGGTCTTTAGGTGTGTGTGGGTCATTGGGCCATGCCAGCCGCAATGGCTGCTGGGAGTTGGAGTCCTACGACATCTGAAGGGCCACAGGTTCCTTTCCCTGTCCCTGCATGAGCAACCCTGCAGATGTGAGAGTTCCTAGGCTTAGAGACCCTCCAGTGGGTTCCTAACAGCCAGGCACCACTTCGTTGGTTGGGTTTTGTTGCATTTAATATCTAGGGATGTGAGAGCGTTGGGCCATGGTTGTGAGAACCCATTGTTTCCCGCAGTGATGCAAATTTGAATATGCAAATCTGCCTAGTAGTGTGCTTTCTTTGTTTGCATTGACTCCTAAGGAAGTAGGAAACCTGGAACTGGTCCAAGGGCATTTCCTTCCTCTGGGTCTCCCTCCGCTGCTGCGGAACAAGGAGGCCTTTGTCACAACGGTCTGTGCTCTCCCTCCCTCCACCAAAACCAGTCCATCAAAAGAGCAGGTGTGCCCAGGGTGCCATCCGTCTTGCTTAGGTTGGTGGGGCTGACAGTTAACCCCTTGGCTTCAGGTCTCTGCAGAGCCCCAGAGATATGTCATCCGATAATCGCTCAACGTGAATCTCTGGACCAGGAAGTTTTGAGTCAAAATCTTTCCTCACCCATGACATTACATGGTTTTCGACAAGCTGCTCTTAGGGCGTAGATTCATAGAATTGTAGAGTTGGGACCCTGAGTGTCATCTAGATGCAGGAATCTCAGTTAAAGCATCCATGACAGATGGCCACGCAACATCTGCTTAAAAACCTCCAAGGAAGGAAAGTCCACAACCTTCCAAGGGAGACTGTTCCACTGTCAATCAGCTCTTAAGGCCAGAAAGTTCTTCCTGATGTTGAGTCGGAATCTCCTTTCTTGTAACCTGAAGCCATGAGTTTGAGTCCTACCCTCCAGAGCAGGAGAAAACAAGATTGCTCCTTCTTCCATGGGACAACCCTTAAGATACAGTGGTGCTTCGCAAGACGAAATTAATTCGTTCCGCAAGTTTTTTCTTCTTGCGAGTTTTTCGTCTTGCGAAGCACGGTTTCCCATAGGAATGCATTGAAAATCAATTAATGCGTTCCTATGGAAACCGCTTGCCAGGCTGGCGGTGCGGAGAAGGCCTTTTCTCCCCACCGCAAGCCTTCAGGACAGGTGCGGGAACAGAGGGGAAGGCGCGCAGCGCTTTTCCTCTGTTCCCGGGGCTTGCGTGGGAGGAGGGTTTTTCCTCCCCACCACCAACATTCAGTACAGCATTCTGAATGTTGGCGGTGGGAAGGAAAACCCTCCTCCCACCCCAAGTCTTCAGGACAGCCATCCGAAGGCTGGCGTGAGGAGAAGGTCTCTCCGCCCCGCTGCCAGCCTTCGGAGGAGCCTTCCAAAGCCTGGCGGCGGGAGGTCTCTCCGCCCCGCCGCCAGGCTTTGGAGGAGGTCCGAGGACAGTGGGGAAGACGCACTGCACTTCCCCACTGTCCCGGAGATTTCCCTATGGGCTTTCGTCTTGCGAAGGAAGCCCATAGGGAAATTCGTTTTGCGAAGCGCCTCCAAAACGGAAAACCCTTCCGTCTAGCGGGTTTTCCGTCTTGCGAGGCGTTCGTCTTGCGGGGCACCACTGTACTTGAAGATGGCTCTCATATCGGCTCTTAAGTCTCCTCTTTTCCAGACTAAGCATACCCAACTCCCTCAACTGTTCCTTATAAGGCTTGGTTTCCAAACCCTTGATCATGGTCGCTGCCCTCTGCACTCGTTCAGCTTGTCAACATCATTCTTAAATTGTGGTGCCCAGAATAGGACACAGTATTCCAGGTGTGGTCTGACCAAGGCAAAATACAGTGGTACTATTACTTCCCATGACCTGGACACTATACTTTTGTAAAATCGCATTCATGTTTTTTGCTGCTATATCACACTGTTGACTCTTGCTAAGCTTGTGGTCTACTAAGATCCCTAAATCCTTTTCCCATGTACTACTGGCATCTTCGGGTACAAGTAGTTATACTTTCAACTGGGTTTATAATGCTGTTTCTGGGTTTAAAGTTGGCTAATTTGGCTCTGTTGAGAATGAACATAGTTCTTTGGGGTTTGGACGGTACAGCAAGCTGCAGTTGACTGAAGCTTTAGAAGTTCTCATGACTGCACTGTGGGAAGAGAAGGTGTGATTTATCAACCAGCCCATGATTCCTCAACCTCACCTTACAGGGTTGTTGTAAGGGTAAAATGGCGCAGTGGCGAGAACCATGTGCCCCTCCTTGTGCGTCTCAGAGGAAACATAATAAGTGAAAAGGAATCCTGCCTGCTGCAGTGCTCATCAGCATCACAAATCTCTCTCCTTCACTTGCCTTATGTAAATTATTATTTATTTCATTTATTAATCGGCTTCCCATGAGGCATCCCAAAGCAATTTATTATAGCAACGTATATACAACTGTTGCATACTAGAAGGGTCAGCCGGTGTCTTGATTTGCTGTTCTGTTGTGGAGGCTGCATTGGTTTGCGTTTGGGCAGGGGGCATGAGACTTGTTCCATTTGTCAGTGTTTGTAAGAAGAAAAAGGTTCTGACCTCCCTTTGCTGCCTCAGCCTGGTCCTCGGACCCTTGTTGGCATAAAAGAGTCCATGAGAAAAGTATCTTTGCAGAGTACTTTCTGCTTTTATTCTTAAAAGTCTTTCTACAAAAGCGACTGACCAACTGTACACACATCAACACTACCAGCTTTCACTAACCAACCAACCCAACCAAACACCAAACTAACATTTCTCACTCTATATATACAACCCGGTGCAGGCCGCTGACTCATGCTGACCCAGCTTTTTTAAGCATTAAAGAAACAGTAGCCAACTTTTAGCTGTAGCACCATTAACATCGTCTGGAAGCAAATTCCTCCTCCCGAAGGCAGGAATTCCATGCACCTGCAAGAAAACTTTTTTAAGGAAAGCCACAGACTTTGCAGGACACCCTAGATTTCATTTCACAGAACAGAGGCTGCTGCAAAGATTTACTTGTGCTGTGGAGGGATGTGAACCCAGTTCTAAGAGTGTGTCTAGTGCAGTGTTTCCCAACCTTGTGCCTCCAGCTGTTTTTGGACTACAATTCCCATCATCCCTTGCCACTGGTCTTGCTAGTCAGGGATGATGGGAGTTGTAGTTCAAAAACAGCTGGAGGCACAAGGTTGGGAAACACTGGTCTAGTGAACCCCAGTGGTACTCTCAGCACACCAGTCCTTTATGTTGTTCCAGCCTCCCCAGGTGCTGCACTATCGCTCCCCTTACAGTAGACCTCTCTCTCTTTACTGCAGATTGCAGAAGGCATGGCTTTCATTGAGAAGCGAAACTACATCCACCGGGACTTGCGAGCTGCCAACATCTTGGTCTCAGCCATGCTGGTGTGCAAGATTGCCGATTTTGGCTTGGCTCGGGTGATTGACGACAACGAATACACAGCCCGGGAAGGTGCAAAGAGAGGCTTTTTGTATGCTTGGTTGCACAAGCCAGCCCCTCCTGCTTTTGCCCTGTCAATCTTTCTGTGTACAGTATGCATTAGGGTTTAGACACTTAATAAGGATGGAGGGCAGAGAAATTTCAATCCAGTTTGCACTGAAAGGCAGACCTACCCAATTTGCACTTTCTGAAGCAACACGTGAACCAAAATTCACACTTCTCCGAATTTTGCAAGGCGGATCTCCGGAGTGCTCTGAACAATCACAGGCAACACGCGGCTAATAATGTTCTAACAAAATATTTGTAACAATTCTTAAACATAAAAAATGTGAAAAGAGTCACAAATAATAGAAGTCAATCAATGTTGCATGAACAAAATTAGAAAATGTAGTCAATCAGTATCAAAGAGGCAAACAAGCCTTTCCACAGTCACAATCCTGTAACCGTGCGGTAATGGATGTTCCAAACGTAGCAATTCTGAAACAGAAAATATGTAATGGAGTCACAAATAATAAAAGTCAATCAATGTTGCATGAACAAAACTAGAAAATGTAGTCAATCAGTATCAAAGAGGCAAACAAAGCCTTTCAACAGTCACAGTCCTGTAACCGTTCCAGACGTAGAACAGTTTTTCCGGATGACGAACTGTTTCGACAGTCACTCTTCGTCAGCGAATAAATGGTCCTAACAGGTACATCAAGTAGCCAAGGATCAGTACTCACTTAGAAGTGTAGTAAGCTGATATTCTATGGAATAAACCCGCATAGCTTATTACTTGCCTTTTCTCTAAACTAAAAAGTCCCAAACACTGCATCCGGAGGAGAATCGCTTCATCCACTTTAGGATGCAGCTTCACGAACCTTTAGGAGCCAGATTTCCTTGCAGTAAAAGACCAGTAGTGCAGGCTCTTGCCTGTGTCCACAATGCAGTTTGGAAAGCAAAGCTGCTATCTGCTGATAAGCCACTTCTTGCCGCACATACCATGCCACCTTTCTGAGCCTCACCTTCTTTGTTTTGACCATCCTGGGCAGGTGCCAAGTTCCCCATCAAGTGGACTGCTCCCGAAGCCATCAACTACGGCTCCTTCACAATAAAGTCTGACATCTGGTCTTTTGGGATCCTCCTGATGGAGATCATTACCTATGGGCGGACCCCATACCCAGGTGAGTAATAAGAAAAGTCTCTTTGCAGGCACCCACACCAAACCTTTAAGGCACATGGCTTTTCCTTGGAACTGTATTTTGTTAAGAATGAGTTTGAGGGGTAAGCTGCAGTTCTCGAGAATCTTGGGGGGAAGCTGTGACTGTTAAAGTGCTATCAATATTCTTTAGATACAGTATATGGCGCGGTTTTGATGTTCAAGTCTCCAGATTTTTTTGGCTCATGGATACTTGGTGGAAAGGAGGAGCAGGGGGTGGTGATGGTCGCAGAGAACCCCACAATAACTTTAAGGGCTGGGACAGCTAGGTAGTTATCCACCCTTGTTAGAAACAAACGTCCAAATAGCTCCACCAAGAGATCTTAGTTTAATAAGAATAGCATCCTGGTCAAGCTTCCAAGAGGAATTAGCTGGGAAATAAACTGCTTAGGCAATAAAACAATTTAACCTCTTGGATGGGGCTATTTTGAGGGACGCGGGTGGCGCTGTGGGTTAAAGCCTCAGCACCTAGGACTTGCCGATCGAAAGGTCGGCGGTTCGAATCCCCGCGGCGGGGTGCGCTCCTGTCGCTCGGTCCCAGCGCCTGCCAACCTAGCAGTTCGAAAGCACCCCCGGGTGCAAGTAGATAAATAGGGACTGCTTACTAGCGGGAAGGTAAACGGTGTTCCGTGTGCTGCGCTGGCTCGCCAGATGCAGCTTGTCACGCTGGCCACGTGACCCGGAAGTGTCTGCGGACAGCACTGGCTCCCGGCCTATAGAGTGAGATGAGCGCACAACCCTAGAGTCTGGCAAGACTGGCCCGTACGGGCAGGGGTACCTTTACCTTTTACCTTTATGGGGCTATTTTAAACTGCCCGATTAAATATGGGAGATTGTTTACCAAATAGAACCATGTGCTCTCAAAAATCTCTGTTTGGCAGCTTTGTATGTTCATATTTTCATGCAGTGTTCCAACTTTTCTGCTTTCAGAAGGGATGTTATTTGGTGAGCAGATGGGTCCAATTTTACTCCATTTTTTAGTGGGCGATATCCAATGCATTTGTTTCCATTAGCAGAAGGACTGCACTAGCACATCCAAAATTCTCCGCCCTCCACCCCCGAATGTGGGCTGGGCCCTCCTCAAATCTGCTACAAAGGATTGGGGGCAACTCCTAGAACAGATTTAGGAGGCACTCAGGGGAAGGAGAAGGGACGCGGGTGGCACTGTGGGTTAAACCACAGAGCCTAGGACTTGCCGATCAAAAGGTCGGCAGTTCGAATCCCCGTGACGGGGTGAGCTCCCGTTGCTCGGTCCCTGCTCCTGCCAACCTAGCAGTTCGAAAGCACGTCAAAGTGCAAGTAGATAAATAGGTACTGCTCCGGCGGGAAGGTAAACGGCGTTTCCGTGCGCTGCTCTGGTTCGCCAGAAGCAGCTTAGTCATGCTGGCCGCATGACCCAGAAGCTGTACGCCGGCTCCCTTGGCCAAGAAAGCGAGATGAGCACCGCAACCCCATAGTCGGCCACGACTGGACCTAATGGTCAGGGGTCCCTTTACCTACAGGGGAAGGAGAGGAGAAAGGTTCAAGTGCACAAGGAGAAATCATTGTGCTGATGGAATGAGTCACATAGCTCTGCTTTGGATGCAACCCTTAGCTTCTACAAGTCCATAGGAACCTAGGAATGCTGTCAGAGCATTGGTCTATCTAGGTTAGCATTGCCTACAATGACTGACTGGCAGCTTCTCTCCAATATTTCAGGGCTGGGATCTCTCTCAGCCCAACCTGGAGGTGCTGGGAACGGAACCTAGCACCCTCTGTGTGCAAAGCAGGTACACAACCACTGAACAATGGTTTCTCTCCCTTCCGTTTGAATTCAGGGATGTCGCACCAGGAAGTGATCCGTGCCCTAGAGCGCGGCTATCGGATGCCACGCACGGAGGGCTGCCCAGAGGAGCTCTATGAAGTGATGATGCAGTGCTGGAAACGCAAGCCTGAGGACCGCCCGACGTTCGAGTACAATCAGAGCATCCTGGAGGACTTCTTCACTGCCACCGAAAGCCAGTACCAGCAACAGCCTTAAAGGAGATGGAGGACCTAGAGACAGCAGAGTGGGACAGTCACTGCAATACGATGCTTGAGAGAGAGCCAGTGTTTGATGTCAAGATCCCGCTGTGGCTTAGGCAAAAGTAGCTGCCTCCATCTTGGGAGCTTACAAAGGAACATTTTATTGACTGCTGTTGGGAGACGGGACTGTACTTGATGGACCCTCAAGACGATCCGACATAAGCAATTGTTGTGCTCATAGCTAAAATGCCTTTTTAAAAACTCCATTCAGTAGATGCCATTTCTGCTGAAGCATGCCATGCACTTTTTGTCTCAAGGTTTTGTTGCCTGCTAGAAAACCACTGGCTGTTGCTCTAGAAGTGTCTGGTGTGTGTGTGTGTGTGTGTGTGTGTGTGTGAGAGAGAGAGAGAGAGAGAGAGAGAGAGAGAGATTGTCATTTGACGGGGCATGGGAATGCAAGAGAATCTGACTAATTGACCAGGCAAATAATATTACAAATATACAGTACCACTACTTACAGGCATTCTAACTAAGCTTGCCACCTCTTTCTTAATCCAAAGGATGGTTGCTTATTTAGCAATATGAAATTTTAATTCTGGATAGGAATCTGTTCCCTGAAATAAACCACAGATGGTGAGCCTAATTGGCTTATATTGATTGCAGGAGCCCTGGTAGCAATGAGATTAAATCCTAAACTATTCTGATCAATGTATTATTTATAGGTTATAATATTATTGAAATATCAGTGTATGCCGACAATATTCAAGGGAACAAACTGTTATTCCTGGTTTTTACTTGGAGTGCCAGGGGAGGTCTGTTACAGACAAAATGCACGCATAATGAGAAGCAGGTTTATTTTTTAATTATGGTTGCAGTTGTGTGTGTTTGCGAATCTAGATTCCCGAAGTAGGAAGGAGTTGCTTCTACCCTATCTTTCAACTTGAATAAAGCCATGATGGCATTAAAAAGGGCACTGAAAAGCTATCCTTAGATTCATGGAATACCTGACTACAGTCAAATATCAGGCATCTCTGCTGCCAGTCAGAGTAAACAATATGCAGCTGAGTAGAGAAACAGTCTGCCCTGGTATAAGGTGACTTCCTACAACCATTACAGGTAGACTGGACATTTGTATGGTCTTTCTTGTGCTGAATCAGGAGTTTGCAAGACTCTTGTGGCTTAGGCACCCTTTGATCCTTGTGCAAGAGAAAGGGCACTAAGACCACATCTGTTCACAAGAGCAGGACCACACTGTTTTCACAACTGCATTTCAAGTTTGGGGCGTATGTATTTTTATAGAAAATTCCCAAACCAGGTAACAATAAAACAACATAGAAAATAGAACTGCAAAGTTGCAGAATCCTAAAACATAAAAGATTGAAAGAATGAGATTTTTTTAAAAAAATATGGCAGAGAAGTAGCATAAGGAGCAATAATGGATCAGTGCCAGTTCAGTGTATATTTGGAAAAGATGACCTCAGTAGATCTCCTCCCAAAAGACCCACCTCCTCCTTAGGGCTGTCCCCACTGCCCAATCCCTTGCCCCTCCCAGACCCAATACAAACGGAGGGAGTGTGGAATTCCTTCACCTGCCTACTATTCTCTCTCTCTCTCTCTGGACCAGAGGGAGAATGGAAAACCAGTCAAGGCTGCTGTCCCATCTACATGATCTTGCACGCTCAGAGGAGTGGCAGAGCCAGGAAGCTCTGGGGATTGACAATACCCCCCCCAAAGAAAAAGAGTGTGGATAATGAAAGTTGACCAACAATGCTGACCCCTGCCGCTGACCCTGTATCAGATAAAAACAGCATATTAAAATAATTCGGAATAAAAATTGGCCAGTTAAATATCCATATATCTAGGTTCTATCATTTCAAATTCAAGGTAGGTAGATTTCATGCCAAATTATACATTTTCACAAGGGGGTGGGGAGCTGTCAAAGGGTTATTTCAGCGGGCTATATCCGTTTCCTCTTCCCTCCACCCATCTGCTCTGCAATTTTGTTGATGTTTTTCTTTAAAAGTTAAATTAAAATATACAGATATTTTTTCTAGTGTAGAAGGGAGGAAGAAGAGAACTTTTCACTTTTCACACATCCTTCGTGTCTGCCCATTTTGTTAGTATCTTTGTGACGTCATCTGTTGAGCTGTCCACAGGCTGGACCCAGAGCAGGTGAAATCCAGAACCTCCACAACTTGGGATGTTTGCATTTTTAATGCCAGTGAAAGTTGAGGAAATACTTTCCGCAGATAAACAGAAGCACCCTTACAGCCGGCCTCTGCCTTGTCCTCATTTTCTGCCTGAGCTTAACAGCTCTGCAAAACTAGGATGCTCCGTAATAAATAAAATAGGATTTGTTTCAGGATATTTTGATATGTTTGGATGTAAACTTTTTTGCATGTTTTGTAATGATAAAAATGTTAAGAAATCAAACATTTGTGTATGTGTGTGATTTGGACACGGGCTGTGATAATTTTGGAACAGTGCATTTGGAAGTGTAGCAGGAAACCCCCCCCCCCAATCATTCAGTTTGTACAAACTTCACACACACTCACACTCACACACTACATACACTACGCTTCTGTTATAAATTCATAGAAAATCAACCATACATCGGATTTGTACTGTTCCACTTTTATTTTACTCCATGAAGGAAGGACTACAAAATGGGGAAGGTTTGATACAGGGCAGCCATAATCCTTGAGCATACCAGTACATATACAGGAGCCCTGCCCAGTTGCTATGCCAACCCTGATGGTCTCAGACAGAAGACCATCAACAACACAACGGACTGCATACAGGACTATAACAAAAGAACAGTGATTGGATTCCCCCTCAGGGGGCAGGAAACTGCGACTACCTTTTGTCTTCTGAAAATGACTCATGGGGAGGGGGAGAAGGGAACCAGCCAGGTGACAGGACACTCAGGTTGCCACCACCACCCCTCCTTCAACCCCTCCTTTCTGTGATATATGTATGATGTTTCTGGGGGTGGTCTTGATCTACAGGGTGGGAATTTCAAAAGTTTTTATAAGGCCTTGCACACCATTTTTCTGTGTCCTTTCCTCTCTCCTGCAAGTGAGGGGAGCACCCTGTTGCAACAGTTCAATAAAGACCAAGCCTACAGGCTGCTGATTTGCTCCAATTTACTCTGGTTGGTGTCTTTACTTTTTGTCCAAGGGAGCCCTCGGATTTTTCCGGTAACAGAAGCCAGTTTAAAACTATATTGGCAGGATCTAAATAAAGTTGGATCCCATGTCCATATGATCAGAAGCAACTCACTGAGTTAAATGTGGGATACACCCCCATTTAAATGTGCCTACAATTCTCTTTAAGGAACTGCAATCCTGACAATCCTAAACGTCAATAGGACACCCACTTACTTTTTCTAAAGGTTTTCTAAAGGTTTTCAGGCCTTAAAATACTATAGATTCCACACCACAACTATGAGCAATGTCCAGCATAACACTAAAAGACAGCAAAGAGTGTCATACATGTACTAGATCAGGTTGTCCTCCCCCTTAAAGAGCAGGTCAGCAGCTATGCATATACCCTATGCCCTTTTAAAATACGGGGGGGGGGGTTATTGGGCTGTTTTTATTTTGATTACATATTTTGTGGTTTTATATTTTGATATTCTGTGAACTGCCCTGAGACCTCCAGGTATAGGGTGGTACCTAAATTCAATAAATAAAATTATAATGATGTGCTTAGAGATCTAGATGCTTGGAGTTCTCTGGTGCTTTCCCAGTGAACTGCTGTCACTCCTGTTAATGGAGAAATCTGAGGGCTCCCTTGGACAAAAAACAAGGACACCAGCCAGGAATACCAGCGCAAAACAGCAGCCAGTAGGCTTGGTCTTTATTGAAGACTGTCGCGACAGGACTCCCACCTGCCACAAGGTGGAACATGATGGCAGCCCCCAAACTGTTATTAGCTGCTAATCCCCAAGTTACACCCCCCAGACTACATCACTAATACATCATGGTTACATCATGAAAAGGGAGGACTGGTGGCAGGAATCTGAGCATCCTGGACTCTGCCCCATGGTTCTCCTTGCCCTGTGGTGTAGTGCCAGTGTGGTGTAGTGGTTAAGAGCGGTAGTCACGTAATCTGGTGAACCGGGTTCGCGTCTCCGCTCCTCCACATGCAGCTGCTGGGTGACCTTGGGCCAGTCACACTTCTCTGAAGTCTCTCAGCCCCACTCACCTCACAGAGTGTGTGTTGTGGGGGAGGAAGGGAAAGGAGAATGTTAGCCGCTTTGAGACTCCTGAAGGGGAGTGATAAAGCGGGATATCAAATCCAAACTCTTCTTCTTCCTCCACCAAACACCCATCAAGTGTAACAAAAGAGATATTTAACTTTCCCTGTTTCCCAGCCAAGTTACTGTAATCACACCCTTTTGTCTTCATCTGGGTTTGTTATTTCTGGAATGGCTACCTGTCTGGCACTCAGGTATCAGGATACCAGCGATTATCACTCAGGCAGAGGGGCTGCTGAGGAGCTGAGCTCACATGTCTATGTGAATTTCTGAAGTTTTCCCAGTGAGTCAGCACAGAGGTACATTGATCAGTGAATTCTTACATTTGGTATTGTGCAGCAGAGGCCCTTTGAATAGATAGGAAGAAACTGTGATGAAGTGTTTTGTGGGGACAAGTCACAAAAGTGATTGTGCTGATTTTGGTAGTGGGCTGCATGTGCATGATATCTGCTGGAGGGGCAACCCCCCCCCACCTATACATAAATTCCTACAACACTCCTAATAAATAATAATAATTGCACATGGCGTCTGAAGTGCCCAGGGAACGCGGCTTGAAGCTCAAGGAACTAATGTTCTTTCAACTGAGTCGAGGTCCTTCGGAAGAAACGGCGCCCCAAAGACACCTGCCCTTTGCAGCGCACACACCTGCCGCCCTTACCAAAGATGGCGACTATGCTTCGACGCGTAAAGTCACGGTAGGGTAAAACACCTTCAGCAGCCAATGACGCTCCACGCTCTAACCAGAGCGCGTTTGCCAGCACTAAAGATGACGTTCCGGTCATCTTACCCACGAAAAAGATGGCTGCCTCACTTAGCCCCCTCCCTTGCCCCTAGTAAAGATGGCGAAGAGAGGGGGAGTAGCCGTTCTGCCAATACCCAAAATGGAGACGCGGAAAGGAGGGCCGCTTATTTCCTCCCATCTCAACAACAACAAAAAACCCCACGGCTAAACTCTTCTCGCGAGCTGACGCTCCTTTCGCGGAGGCTTCCTGCCTTTGCGAGCGGGAGAGAGCGACTCCGCCGGGCAGAAGCGGAAGGCGGCAGGCCCTTTCCCCTCAGCGGCGACGGCCTGCTTCCGTCTCCATGGCGACGAGCCGCCTCGGCCAACCGCGAGCCGCTTCCGCTGACGTCGCCGCCGACACGTGGATCCAAGATGGCGGCGTCTGGGGTGCTGGTGAGTGAGGAGGCCGGGGAGCCTCCTTCCCCTCGCGCTGTCTCGCGGCCGCCGGGGGCTCCGAGGGCCCCTTTCCGGGGCGGGGGTCGCTTCGCACCGCGGGCCCAGACCTCTCCCCGGCCCTTTCCGGAGGGGGGGCGGTGGGGAGGGGGGGGGTGGGGATGAGGGGGCCTCGTTTGCGCGCCTGACGGGACCCTCCTGAGGTGACACACGCACCCCAGAGAAGCCCCTCACCCAGCCCCCGAAGTAGCCGGCGAAGGCGTCCCTCTCTGCCGCGCACAGCGCCGGGCGCTCCCTCCGAAGGTCTCCCCGGGAGACGCGAGGCCGGGAGGGAGCCCGCCAGAGGCGTCCCCGGCTGTTGCTGCTCTCGCTTTGGGCCACCCGACGAGCAGCAAGCCCTGAGGGCTCGCCTCGGTGTTTGCGTCCCTTCCTTGCAGGGGGTGGGCTGGATGACCCTCGGGGTCCCTCCCGGCCCCCGCGGTTCTGCGACAGGCGACAACGGCGCGTCCGCTTTTTGTTGCTTCCGCATCGCGATCCTGAGACCTTATTGAATTGCGTTAGATGGTCTTGAATTGAAAAACCAGCAAGACAGTGCGATCTCTGTAACGTCAAACGCGGTAGCGCACAAATGAAGCCAGTGGCAATGAATTCGTCCAAGCAATGCACAAAAAAGGCGTAGTAATTCGAAATGATATTCTGTTGCAACTGTTTCAAAAACGATGGGTAGCAATGCTTTGCCACCTGTTTTGTGAGGTCTGCCTGAAAAGCGGTATATCAATCAGTGCTGGTGGCACTAACAGACTCAAAATAGCCGAAAAGGTGGAAACTGCAACCGGAACCAGATGTCAGCTACTGATGGGACATTATTTTTCCCATCCTTGATAGCTGTATTTCGTAAGATGCCTTGCTGGTTCACTGTGTTCTGTGTGCAACTGGATTCCAGTCTCTAATCTCACATTCCCCATAGAGCTCTTGTTTTACACAGCCAGATTGGGCCAGGAATGATGCTGTTGTCCATGGGAAGGCAAACTAAGGCCCGGGGGCTGGATCCGGCCCGATCGCCTGCTAAATCTGGCCCGCGGACGGTCTGGGAATGAGTGTGTTTGTACATGAGTAGAATGTGCCCTTTTATTTAAAATGCACCCCTGACTTGTGGGGCATAGGAATTCATTGATTATTATTTTTTTCATAATATAGTCTGCCCCCCCAAGGTCTGAGGGACAGTGGACCGGCCCCTTGCTGAAAAAGTTTGCTGACCCCTGCTGTAGTGCCTCTAAAGAGGTTGCCATTTTCAAGGACTCCTGCTGTGTTTAGACAGCTGTGGTCCAGCTTTCAGGAAGTTGTTGGGGGTGAGTGACCGACCTGAGATTGTGTTCCTGTCTCGAAGAAAATTACTGGTGAATTTGCTCTGAATCGAGATTGTGTTCTGGATCCCATGTTGCAGGGACTCCTTGCACAGCCCGAGACAAAGTTTGTGTCCTTTGTCAACCTTGTGTTTGCATTCAGAACTTTCTTGCAACACGCCTGGAGGCAGAGAGTAGCATCACTTCCTTTTCTGTATGCTAACAACCAGAAGCAGTGAGTTTCGGTGCACTGCACACCAAAGCTCTGCCATAAACTTGATAAGAATCACACAGGCTGGAGCAGCTTAACGGGCTCAGTCACGGCAGTGGAATTTTGTTGGGCAGGGCACCTTGTGGTCATTTGATGGTCTCAAGGTTGAGTCCACATGTCTAAAGGCAAACAGTTTTGTGTCACAGTTTTTCTAGTGCTGATGCTTGTCTTCTGTACTCTTAAACTTGCAGAACATGTTGTTTCTGCAAGGAGGATGATACTCAGCGATGATTGTGAGAAGGTATAGAGAGTTCTTATCTCATTCCCTTTCTGCAGAGGATTATCTCTGTGGGAAGGAGGAGGGGAGGCCTTATTCCTATTAATGCAAGGCCAGAAGTCCATCTGCTCCAGCACCCTTTTCACCGCATAGGCTGGCCATATACC